GTAGGTCTATGTATATATACATATATATATATGTGTGTGTCTGTGTCTGTGTCTGTGTCTGTGTCTGTGTACAGATATATACATATATATATGTGTGTGTGTGGGTGTGGGTGTGGTTGTGTGTGTGTGTGTGTGTGTGTGTGATGTCGTGAGTGTCTGAGTTATTTGGTAAGTGGGTGTGGGTGGGGGTGGTAGGTGTGGGGTGTGTGTGCGTCTGTGCATGTGTGTGCGTATATGTGTATGTATATATATATACATGTATATATAGATATTCGGGTGTGAGACTATTTGTATACATATTCCAGGGGCGAGACAAAAGAAGGGGTAAAACAGTTATAGTGTCCTGACATGATTAAAACAAACACTCTCTGATTAGATACTACTATATTGAGTTGCGCATGGAACCGAAGAGTCTCGTGGATGTGGACATTGAGTGTTACGTCCCGACAGTTGAGCCTGAAGGTATGTTTGTAATTTGACTGATAGATGGGTTTAATCAATAGACCTGAAAACAGTTAATGCTAGATAATGTTAACATATAACAGAAGCTTGAATTCTGAGGATTTAACACACAGAAGAATGAACACCCATTTCATTTCGTCATCGTTTTCGGCTCTGCATTGTGTATGCGCTCACAACTATATCATCACATAATAGTGTGTCTTCTTATCTGAATGTGTATAGGTCATGTATTGAGGCAACTATTTCATCACATACTAGTGTGTCTTCTTATCTGAATGTGTATAGATCATGTATTGAGGCAACTATTTCATCACATACTAGTGTGTCTTCTTATGTGAATGTGTATAGGTCACGTATTGAGGCAACAATTTCATCACATACTAGTGTGTATTCTCATCTGAATGTGAATAGGTGTGTCTTCTTATCTGAATGTGTATACATTATGTATGGATGCAAAGTATTTACATATTTATGGATACCCCTTGCAGAAGTCGATCTTCTTCCTCCACCGTGGCGCTATCATGCTTTCAATTCCGAACCCACTTTTCACGAAACCTCCATAGAGCAACTCGACATTTAACTTCTGATTTCCCTATGGAACCGTTTAAATAAGCGCGCCCGATAATACGAAGCACACTCCACAACATGCACCAGGTACCTCAGAGATCAAGGCGCATTTCGGCCTGTTTCAGTCGAACAACAACGTGACACCAGCCGCACTGACGTCGGACAAGCATGGGTTCTGCAGCACTACCTTCACCCCGCGGTTTGGCAGGTGAGTGTTGGTGTGGTATGCTTATGCTACTGAATCCTATGCAGTGGGCCACAGACTTGACAGATGAATGTGCACACATTATACTGCACATGCACACGCGGCACCAGTGGTCAAAGATACAGCACGAGGTCAGGTATATCGTACAGGCATATAGATATCAGTACATACGCACTCAGATAGCTCTCGCATACGCGTAGGACCGGACCAGACCTGTCATAGGGCAGAGTGTTCGCTTATTATAAGTACCTGCTTGCCACAGGAAACCGTTATGTGGCGCATGTCTCCTGAGACAAGAGATCCGAACATACACAAGACCTGAGCACGCGCAACGCACTAACAACATGTAATCGGGTCAAGAGTAAACCAATTGGGCCTGTGCCAAAGGGATGCGATTCCAGGCTGCTGCTGCTAGTGCTGTAGCGTAGCCATTCGTATTGCAATATATTCCCCACAATCAGCACGAACGGTGATATCCGTATAGTATACACTTATGATACACTATGCGTGTGTGACTGATCCGCACTGTAGTCCATGCGCGGTGGACTATCCCCGTGGGGGGCCATTTTGGACTTTAAGTGTCCAGAACTATCCGAGCTCGTAGACGCTGGACTGGTCACATAGTTGCAATTCCCGCCTTGCCCAGATGGTACACACTCGCGTTGGTTTGGCCTACTACCAGCGCACACTTCATAGTTACTGACTGTGATACACCCCCACATTTGATCCTCGTCACGCTGCAGAGAGCAAACCAAACTCTGCGATCTCGTCCACTTTCGCGCCAGCACTGCCATCGGCGATGTGATGAAGGTGCGTCTAGTAGTTACGCTGGGGAATCGGCTAGTCGAACGCTTGTGCACATGTGCATCTGGGTGTTTTACAGTGAAGGATACGTACTTTGATGTGTGTGCTTATCAATACTTTCTCCTTTAGTCGGATATGCTTCTGGTCGTGAGCATTGAATTCAATCAGATTGTGTGCGTTGTACACCATGGAGGATGTATCATCGGTTCGCCTGTATACACAGATAAACATGGGTTCAGTGATCACGGGCCTATAAAGTATTGAGTGTGAGAGTGACCATTGCACGCATGCGCGTGTAACCATGTTTAGTTGTTAAGGTCTTAACGTGAGATTTTGGGTTTGCCTCATCTCTAAATAGCTCAGCATAGAAGTGAACGCCATCGAATTGGATTTACTGCTGAACGTGTACTATGTGTCTGACGAGTCCATTCCCAAAGGGTAAGTACTAGATGCAGCATCAAACCATATGACGTCCGCATCTATGGGTGTGGATTTTCATGTGTTCGTATTTGATACTCAAGACCACACTTGTCAGAAACAAATGAGCCTTGTGCGTATGTCACGCACATGTGTGTGTGTGTATTTTATTGATTGTGGGCAAACATGCTACACTGGCTATACATTCGTATGCCATCAAGGTGGAGCGCAAATGTTCTCTTAGACGAGCGAAGTAACCCCCTCCTCTGGTCAATTGGTGAATTGGCGCACCTGTGATTGCGGAATTGTATTCAGATCGGTAGTCTAACCTGCACTACCCTATTCTACAACGTGTCCCTCTGTCAACTACACTCTGGGTCACCCCTGCCATGTTTTATTACTTGCTTGCATTGAGTCCTTCCATGTTTTATTGTTTGCTTGCAAGCTCCCCGGTACGACGTCTGGTACCCATTTCTCATTCCACGCCAACGCACCAGTGGTATTTACTATATGTAATCTTCATTCGCAGAAAAAAACCGGCCAAGGGCAGCCACACACGGATCGGCACTCGCCGCTTGACCCTCCGCAAACTCATGCATGCAGGTGAGCACTGCTCACGCCACCGATGCGTGTATATGTCAGTGACCTTTGTGTTCCGTTGAGTAGTGTGTCTTACCCACTTCTTCTGCACCTGAGTGAATGCTTGCTTGCTTGGGCATGCATCGTAGTCAAAGTATGTGCGGAGTTCGTCGTCGTATACTTTCGATTCGCTTGCTGCTGCCTCTACCTGGTGATTTCGGTTGACTTCTGGTCATCGGAAACCCGATACCCTTTCAAACCCCCCTCCCCTGGTACTTGTGACCGTTAAGCTCGGCCATTGTTGATACCTCTGTCACTCTCCCTATAGTACGCCCCACCCCCCTGGAGATACTGCTGCCCGATCGCCACTTTGCCACGGCTGAACTGACAGTATGTGCGTCGCTGTCGGGTCTGACACTCCAACGCACCACAGAAGTACCAGCCATACCATCAAGAGCCGAATCTATCATGACGGATACATCCACCCAGTCATATGCGGCGTCTTATGATACGCTTCACACACGCACAGGTGTGTCTGCAGGTGCGGGTTCGTCGATGAACGTACCCGCATGCACACCCGCTCGCGCGGACACTGGCACTGTCACTCACCCAGCTATTCAGGCCACCGATACCCCTACAAATACACACATCATATGCGATGCGGCCGACATACACACACTGGATTCATTGATCCTCACTCACACCACTTGCGTGCGTGCATTGGTGCGGCAGTTTCGGTTGCTGCGCCATCAGTACCACAAGCTGGCGCGCAAGCATGCGGACGACTTCTGTCGGGAGGGCGAACACGTGCGCATCCCTATCCTCCTATATGAACATGAGCGTACTCCTAGCGCACCAGTCCTCGAGAAAATAGGACCGGTGCAGGTGAAAGTCTCGGGAATGCAGCAACCGGAGAGGCCAGGAGAAGGCGCTGGTGAATCAGATAGTGCAGAACCACAGACATACAAGACAGGTGTATTGTCAGGCGACGCACACGACCAAGCCACGCATGGCACACGCATACAACCAAAGAACCCAGTTGGCAGCGCTCGTGCATACGCACACAGTATGCAGGGCACGCCCACACACGCCCACACCACCCGTGAGGCCCACAGACAACCACAGACCACTCAGGGTATTCCCTACCCAGAGCGCAAGCCCAAACACTCGGACTACTATGAGCAGCTGCAGCATGTGCTGTGGTCAGCGGTGCAACGTGCCGTGCAGGCGGGTTGCCATGGCGACGGCGGTGTGGATCAGACCAGTGATGAGTCACACGCACCACTCAACACTTTAGAAACACCCACTGACCGTTTGGGTCCCGATGGGGCCAAAACAGCCCCACAGTCTTCTACTAATGCGGGCGAGCCCAACTCAGACACCCCACAACGCGTGGTACGAGTGTGTACTGCAGAGCGTGACCATGGGTCGTGTAGACGTGCGCGTGAGCAGAGAGTGTGCGCAGTGATTGTGGCGCATTTGACGTCCCTCAGCCGACAGCTGAGCGCGCTGTTTGTGGAGATGAGCGATGACTTCACGCCAGACCGCTGCGTCTACCTCGGCTCAATTGAGAAGACCATGGCCCATGTATGTACATGGTACAAGTGCTTGCTGTGCTCGTGAGTGTGTCCATCTGTGAGGCTTCTGCGCACTTCGTTCGATTGTTTCAGCCACTTTCTCGCAAGCATATGTCTTTCCCACTCTTTCTCGCAAGCATATGTGTTTCCCGCTCTTTCTCGCAAGCATATGTCGTTTCCCACTCTTTCTCGCAATCATATGTCTTTCCCACTCTTTCTCGCAAGCATATTCTTTCCCGCTCTTTATCGCAAACATATGCCCTTCCCACTCTTTCTCGCAAGCATATGTCTTTCCCACTCTTTCTCGCGAGCATATGTCTTTTCCGCTCTTTCTCGCAAGCATATGTCTTTCCCGCTCTTTCTCGCAAGCACATGTCTTTCCCGCTCTTTCTCGCAAGCATATATTTTTCCCGCTCTTTCTTGCAAGCATATGTCTTTCCCGCTTCCTGTTATGGCTCGTCAACGCCAACCTCAATATTTGGTACGCACATGCACCCCTTCCCTGAGTACATGCCATGTGTTCCACCTAAGTGATCTCTGGCATATTTCTACCACTGCTTTTCTTACACATGCCTTTTTGGTGTACGTAGCTGTGCCAACAACTGTTTCTCCCATCTTGAAACTGGTTGCCTGTTGATCTTGGACATGCCCCCTGGATAGCTGTACTACAAGCTCTCTCATGAGATAATACTGATTCCTCTACCAATGTTCACCCAAATGCTCATGCTCCCGTATGAATTCTCCGTAATATCCCGTGTGCATACCACACAGCGCCACCAGAACCTCTACCGCTCCCAACTCAGCAGTACATGGCATGAGGCTAGAGACAATCCGCGCAGGTGTGTAGCAAGCGACGCGTTTTGTTAGAGGGCTATATATACACCCATAAATGTCTGCCCTGGACGTATGTTCGTCTCTATTTGCACCGGCGGAGTTCTTTGTCCCGAACTGTCCTATTTGGTTCAGTACGTATTTGTTTGTCCTATTTTGTGCTTTTTATTATGTGCCAGTGTATGAATCTCACGTCGCCCAATACGGTGACCAGCATACGCACGTGGCCTTTATTCCTACTACGCCCTCTGTTGCAAATACCTAGTAAGTGCTGGCATTGATCACGATACATTATGGTTTTTAACCGGCCAGGAGCACTTATCAACACACCATGCCTATGGAACAACTAGCAACACTGCTCACTATGTTGTGTTTTCCCAGCTCACCTGTCCACCAGCGATTGTGAGCTTACCTGGTTATCCTTCTTATCACTCGTGACACTATCATGTACAATCAGCATCATCTACCTACATGCACCTGCTTCTCTTCGACATGGGCCCGTTACGGCCTGTTTCAGAAGACGATCGAAGCAAATGCCAACCATATATAGCAACTCAACACACTCTGGTTCTCGTCTCACCACAGTTGCCTGGCATACAGGCAGCACATTCCTCTGGGGGCATACCGAGCGTCCTTCGCTACAAAAGCCGCAGATGATCAAGCACGTGCACATGCGCTTGCGCAGGGAGGTGGTACTGTTCCCGAGGTTCGGAGCATGCACTCAGCAGCGAATGAGCTCGCCCGTTCAGCTTTCACCTCTGACCAGATACCGGGACACGTCGCCACATGCGCATATGGTACTGCACACGCGCACCCAGATATAACTAGGCCTGGGACCGAGGAGCACACGCAACGCACTGAATGGGCAGAATCTGGACATGCTGTCACAACAACTAGGCACGTAGAGGCACACGCAGGGGTGAGCACAAGCGGTGAGGTGCGTAGTACCACAGCCACAAGCGGTGAGGTGCGTAGTACCACAGCCACCCTAAATATGCCCAGACAAGAGACGCTTGCAGGGCACAACACACAACTGGTGGCTAAGGCGTCCGATGATATGACTGAAAGCGTGTCTGGGCAGGCACAGGCGAGTATAAACACTGCTGTTGGTACACACATAGACGAGGAGTGGGACATGCGCTCGCCAAGCCATCGCCAGGTGAATTGTGCGGACTGCTCAGCGCATGCGGCTCTCCCACTGATTGTGGGAGACCGAACAAAGACACACACGACCTATGTGCCTGGGGCGTCGCCACATGCGATCGCGTTCAAGAACAGAACACGGGAAAAACAAGGCAAGCTTGAACAAGACACGCTGGAAAGGGGCAGTGGTAGTCAAGATAACAGCGGGACACTTGAGGCAGAGCTGCTTAGTCAGAGCCTTAGTGCACCAGCGCAAGCGGCAACGAAGAATACGTATACGGAAACTACTAGTGACGGGTGTGACAGCAGCGAGGAGCCTCCTGAGATCCACAACGGCACACGTGACTGTAAAGGTACAGAGGTTGGACCTCTAGGCAGCTCAGGCGCAGTTGAGAGCTCAGACATCACTCGCGGTTTAGCGAGCGCACTGGGACGTACCCATCTCGCAAGCGGATCTGAATGTACTACAGGCGTATCCGAACCCCCCATATGTGAACCAGGGAGTGGCACAGGTAGTTTGGAATCTATCGCAAAACCGTCTGGGCTGGTTCCAGCCAGCACTGACTGCCTGAAAAATGCTCCCGCATATATCTCGGTATCGGAAACCGCCAAGAGCCCATCAGAAGATAGTACGTCGGCCGATTCCAGCGTCAGCACCCATGGATCTATAAATAGAACATGCAACCACCGCTGCGAATGGCGCGGAACCTTCGTGAGCGCGGTGGACGACACTTTCGACGCCACACCAATGCCGGCGATGTACGAGGACGTGTACGGCCACGTGGCACAGCAAAGACACATGCACACCCAACCGAACCAGCCCAAGACCCAGGCCAAGCCCCCACACACCCCGTGCATGCATGTGCACACTCAGCACAGACGCGACCAGGCGCAGCGCAGGCGCGAGAAGGAGCGGGGGAGAGGCTGTGGGGTGGGTGTGTGCACGTATCTGAGTGACTCGCACGCCAATGCGTATACCAGGAACACGATGCCAAACGCGGCACACGTGTGCACTGATGCACACACGTGTGCGCGAACACACCACGACGCTGGTCCCCCCACACGTACAAGTATGCCTGAGTCGCCTCACGCTAGCACGGGGAAATATGCTAGGACGATGCCACACGCACCCGACCCCACCCATACAGAGGACACGCGCACACAACACCCACTACCACAGCCAGCTCAGACACTCGTGGACCTGCAGACGGCACACTCGCACGCACCCAACGAACACGTGGCCACGCCTCAGATGCACGTGGTGGTCTTGGTGCATGGCCTGGCTGGCTCGCGGTATGACTTCCGAGTGTATGCCGCACTGCTGCGACGCCGTAGCATATGCAATGGGTCGCGCGCGACTGCGAAGCTGCACCTGCTACTGTCCAAAGCCAATGAGGACAAGACGTACGACTCACTGCCCACACAGGTAGGACCACCGCTGCCGGATGGTTGTGTGTATGTGTGTGTGTTACATAGGTGTGTGTGTGTGACATAGGTGTGTGTATGTGTTACATAGGTGTGTGTGTCTGTTCCATAGGTGTGTGTGTGTTACATAGGTGTGTGTGTGTGTTACATAGGTGTGTGACTGTAATAAGGATGTAGGGAGAGGTATACACATGCGTTTATGTTTTTGGTTTGGTGGGGTTTTGTATGTATTTACTTGTGCAAATATATAGCGCCTGTGTCAGTGCGCCGATGCGTGGGCAGGCGACATATGGGAGATAAATGCAAAGCAAATCGATTGCGTTTAACGTATTACGCATTCCTGCATGACTACTCTGGCCCCCATTGCCAGAGCTAAGTACATGCAGACTCACCCGTTTGATCGGCACAGTTAGTTAGTTATGGTCCACGCACCTTCTGAAACTTTACAGTACGAATATTGACACACGCGTTCCCCCTAACAAACGTATTGGTACATGCCACACAGCGATGCTCTATCGCATTAAGCAGTCAAAAGCACCGGCTAAGCACCGGCTTTGCGTTTAAGTTCGTCACAACTCCTTCGTATCACGCATGTTAATGAGTGTGTATACTTACAACAGCCCCCGCACACGTGCGAGCACACGACCATAACCATAGCCTGCGCGTAAACACACCGCGTACATATACGTTTCAGGATCGATGAGCCCTGGGGTCATAAACTCGCACCGGCTCATGCCCACTCACTCAGCACCACTATAGCATGTACATGACCCACGCAGCTGCAGTACTCCTCGCACGCCCGTGCACCGTAGACTGCGTTGCATAGAGTGCATTTTAGCTTACATGTGAGTATAGATACATCAGTACCAGCTACACACACCAAAGCATACTACACCACTTATGTAGATAGAGTTCACCAACAATACAGTACGCGCCTATGCGTCTATGCACACACACACACACTTCCACTAACTACTGCCCAAACCATGCACACAGGCAGCCCGGCTCTGTTCGGAGATTATCGAGTGCGAGCAAGAGTTGAGGACCAAGCGTGGGGCCAACGTCTGTGCCATCAGCTTCATCGCCCATTCACAGGGTGCGCTGGTGGTCAGGCTGTGTGTAACATTGTCGCATTTCCGACCCTTCCTGCCGCTTTGTCGTACGTTCCTGTCGCTCGCTGGTCCCCATCTGGGTATGTCGGGTGTCTTGTCAGTGTCTTCCTATGCATGTTTGGTTGCGTGTAGAGGCTAAACAAGAGTGCATCCGCGTGTCTATTCGCCTTTGTCTGTCGCCTCGTGCATAGTACGTACGTGTAGATGGTTTCAAAGTATATACACCCAGGCAGATGTACTACTTGATCATCTACAACCTTTCACAATGTTCATATATGTCGCATTCCGATGTCGTATCTTATAACTATTTGTGTATTTTGATATACTCGCCTGCGTGTGCCCATGCCGGATTGGTTCCCGGTGTGTCTGCGCCGGACTATTGTTGTTTGATGGTGCAGTAGCCTACGGCCAGCGGAATGCCGGGTACGTCTGTGAAAGCCCCGGTCAGCAACTAAGCCGAACTAATAGCTGTCCACATACACGCGTGACATACATGCCCTCTAGTAGCTACAAAGGCACATGCACACACGCGCGCAACAAAATCCCTAACCCACTTACACACTCACTCACTCATTCACACTCTCACTCTCACACTCATACTCGCACTCACTCACTCACTCACTCACTCATACCCGTACTCTCGCACTCACTCACTCACTCACTCACACTCGTACTCACTCACTCACTCACTCACTCACCCATTCGCCAACAAAATCCCTAACCCACTTACATACTCACTCACTCACTCACCCATTCACTCATTCACTCACTCGCGCACTATATATATATATATATATATATATATATATATACTTACTCACTCACACTCGTACTCTCGCACTCACTCACTCACTCACCCATTCGCCAACAAAATCCCAAACCCACTTACATACTCACTCACTCACTCACCCATTCACTCATCCACTCACTCACGCACTATATATATATATATATATATACGTATATGTATATATATATATATATATATATTTATATACTCACTCACTCACTCACTCACTCACTCACATACACGTGCACAGGCACACCCACACACGCCGTATCGCCTCTTGTTGGGTTTGGGCTGTGGTTTCTGTCCAACTTCAACGGATCTGACAGCATCGCTCAGCTCAAACGTGCCGATGGTGGTCGCGTAGAGGACTCGTTACTGTACCGTCTAGCTCATCACCCTGTCGGTATGCGGATACAATGTGCTCACACGTTTACAATTTCGCGACATCCTGTGAGTGAGTATAAGTAGGTGACTATACGTGTACCAAGGATGTCTTCGTCGTGTGCGTTAATCAGTATAAACGTTTACTACTTCGTGACAGCGAGTGGGTATAAGTAGGCGACTATGCGTGCACCAAGGGTGTCATTGTCACATTCTTCAATCTGCACACACTTTTACTACTTCCGCGAAAGTGAGTGAGTATAAGCAGTGGCTACAATGAGGTAGCTATGGCTACCATGGCCATGTGCGTTTGTACACCACAGATTGCCTACTACGACGTATACGCTTTTATAAACGCTTTATCACGTTCGTTTATACGCTTTTATCACGTTGAGTGACCCGCCCATTGACTCCCCTGACGCCACTGTCCCGTCCTGCGGTTGTTCAGGGCTGGGAGTGTTCCGCACCGTCATTCTAGTCGCCACCCGTCTGGACGGCTACGTCCCAGTACACTCGGCCCTGATCCATTCCAACGAAGCCATGACCACGGCCGAGGCGAACCCAGCGTCCACAAACACCATTGGTGCTGCCCCTACCTCGGCACAAGCAGGTGCACAGACACACACACACGCACGCCCACAGCAGGATGCGAGTGCCAATACAGGCACCGCCAACGATGTGACTAGCTTAGGACCACAAGCCGACTCGGAGATGGCCAGGGCTATCTTGACGCCTATTGTGCAGCACTGGGAAAGTGAGAACGAAATAGAGACGACCCGAGCCCACATGTGCTCGTGCGCGTGCAGGGCTGGGTGTACTGGGTGCGCCCATCGCTTGGAGTATACGTGCGTACAACCGGTGTGTATTTCGGGTGCAGTTGCGAGAGGGGACTCAGACACGGCCCCTACTTCTGCGGACAGCCCTCTAAGCGGTGCACCGAGTGGGGTGGGTAAGGGGAGTATACCACAAGCACACAAGGGGTGTGCATGCCATTGTACCGTGCCACTGACTAGTAGTGCTGAGCCGATACTAGACGGGGTGTGTTCTGGGCCGACGATCACGTCGCACTGTACGGACCAGGTGGGGAGTATGGATTCGCTGGAGCGGGGACGGGACCTCCACTGGTTTGGCTCTGAAGCGTACGCACCACGAGACGGTGAGACAAGCACGTGCTCAAGGGAAGGCACTTGCGCTATGCTCAGCCACAATAGTGCACACGCGGCGCTGCGACCGTTGGAGGCCATGAGTGTTGACTGTAGGGGTGGGTGTGACGGAGGAGCCTCTCATGGGGGTGTGCGTGTGAGTATTGCCACAGATGGATCTGCCGCCACCGGTGGATGTGCACGACATACGCCACTCCAGCTGACAGACGACACCACCGCAGAGATGCGCACACGAGAAACACACCCACGCCCACGCACCGGGTGTGCAAGCACCGCCGCCCAGACTATCGGAGCCGACGCAGCGCATACGGAGCTGTTGATGCGACTGGAGATGATATACCCTCAGTCGTACAAGGGGTTGTTTGCGGACATGCTGGGGCGTGCGGTGCACACGGGCCTGCTAGATAACATCCCTATAGTGCACATGCTGTTCGCTCGGGTCGCGTGTCACTTCAGCTGATCTGGGTGGCCTACGGGTGTAGACTGTCGACCGTAGACATTCCGGTGTGGTTGATTGATGACATAGCAGCTTCTTTGTGTTGTACCTAAGGCACTAGTGTTTGATAGACAGGTGTAATATTATACCGCTCAGTGGCCCATTCCAAGCACGCAGCCGATCATAAACCCGAAACCGGGACAATAAACCTGAAACCGGGACAAGAGTATTTTGAGAGTTGGGGTCACAGTCTATCAAAACTTTGTGTCGTGACTGTGCTTGGTGTTCCGCTGAGCTATAAAGCACTCGTGCACCAACCCTTCTGGAAGCAGGACTTTCGTGTGGCGACAATTCTGTTTATATATATTATAGAGCAATTGTGCGTCTAGAGCAATTGTGCGTCTAGAGCAAACGTGCACGAGCAACCATGCACCAACGCTTGTAAACGCAGATTATTGTCATATGGCAACAATTGCGTTGATATATATGATAAAGCAATCGTGCACAGAGCAACCATACACCAACACTTGTGGACGTAGACTTTCATATTGCAACAATTATGTTTATATGTATTGGCAGTCCACAACTGCTCCCAACTGAACATCCGCCACGCGACTTATCAGCGTATGGTGACGAGATCCTACTACAAGAACTTACCGCAATGCTGTGCTAACCAGCAGATAGGAGACTGAATCGAACATAGTTGATACAATAACAGCCCTGGTAAAGTAGAGAATTGGGACGCATTCGACTCAACTAGAGCTGACAATACACCATCAGATAAGCGATATCTATACAAACACAACATATGTATGCCCTGCCACGCAGAACGCCGTTTTATCTATCTAACACCAAACGAATGTAGTACATATCAATGCACGACTATATCCCAAACGAGCTTCAGATTTTATAACAGCAGCACATCATATCGCAAGCCACCAACTCAGCTCAACATAGCCTACTCCAGTAAGGAAACACGCCATTGCCAGGCGTGAGAGCGGATGTGTACTGGTCCGCATTCGACAGTGCGAGATCGTACAAGCAACAGCGCTGTTCTGTGATTGAATATACCGCGTCGTATCGTTGCGATAGGTTTGTGTTGCCAGACCGCTATACAACGTTATATTCTAAGACCATCTCACCAACAAGCTCAATCCCCAATAATACCAATTCCCGGATCCGCATCAGAAATGGCCCTTACAACTCGGCAAGACTCTGAGCTACACACCTGTGGTCAAGCACAGCCAACACATATTTGCCCTTCAGCGCAGTATGTTTCCACTGAAACATTGAAATTATACCATCCAGCTTTTATTAGTTATTTGGCTACGATGATGCAGTGGGGTTGTACTGCCGAGAATCATCATTTGGTAGCACTGAATATTGACAATACACTACCAAGAGTCAAAGAGTGAAATTATTTACGAGTCAAAGAGTAGTGATATTGGATACATCGAACCTTCGATCTTATGTCGTTAACAATGCTATCATTATCATTTGTCACACAAAATCACTGACACTACACAGTCAAAACTACGAAGTCGTGTGGGTTTTAATTCATTCCATTGCAACTCAAGGCAACAATAATTTTCCTGATATTTTTTGACAACATTCATTCGATGTTAATATGGGTACATATGGGTATATACAGCCTATCGTACGGTTTATAGATTACTAACATCGCTGTGGCAATGAATCCTAGCTGGAAAGTGTTCATATACTCCAGGTAGCCCCACCTGCTACGATGAACACACTGACAGGGTGTACTTTACGTTTCAGCTCTACTAATTATAAATATATCCACTTGTTGTTGAAGCGTATGTATTTACATACTGTGCCGTCATACGACATCGCATGTACATACAGTATCTACTATACTGTAGTCTACTATACAGTACTTACATGTGCATTCTGTACTTAATGTCATATTTAATATTATAAAGTATATATAGAGAGAGGTTCGGTACTCCAGAAAACGGATGATGCAAAAACGCATGGCTGGTATTTAGAGTGATGGCTGTATTTGCTGACTCCTGAATGGCTGGGGAGACTGGAGACTCTGGGCCACTGGGCCTGTGGGCCCGTGAGGTCATGAATTTGAGATTTTATATATTTTTGTCGAAAAAATACTTTATATATGTATGTGCATATAATAAACAGGCATCGCATAGGTAAAGCTTTATATTTACTTGCAAAAGTAAGCTAGTATTTACTTGAACTCGGCTCAATATACTGAGCCTGCTATAGGTATTATGAGCACGATCAGATCAGTACACACCGGTCTAGGTGTTGGCAATGTGTCTTCTGCACGCTGTGCTAACAATAGTTACCTGAATGTTGTACACCAGGCTTTTACAGCCAGTACTGGCGTTGCATCCACAACTGTGAATAAATCATTTGCATCCACCACCCTTCGGTGCGGTTTTGGTGCACACGTGAGTAAACAACCTGCACGTGGTTATGCGTATACTTCATCGTCAGCGAATGTGTTAGGTTTACGCGCAGCTGCCACTATGAGTCAAGTACAGAAACAAAGGAGAACTATTGAGGCACTGCCTCCAAAGAGGTGAGTGCAAATGGTACGCGATCCGACCAATTTTATATATATATAAATGTGTGTGTGTGTGTGTGTGTGCGTGTGTGTGTGTGTGTGTGTGTGCGTGTGTGTGTGTGTGTGTGTATATATTTTTTTGTATCTTTGTAATTTTATAGCAGAAGATTTCCTCGCTTGAACTATGCAGGAGTTTGTGCACTTGAATCACGCATTCATGCACCAAAGGTACAAAGCACCTTCATACACTTCTGTACAGTTTGTAAGCACTGCACGCCAGTACACCACTTGGAAACCAGTAAGTGCTTATTGTGATCGGTAGCATTGTATATACAGAGGGTTTGTTCCTTTTCACGAAAGGCTGCATATCTTTATGGCCACTAGTCAATGTTATCTCAATTTGCAACTGGGGTAGGTTAATTGTTTCTTTGTACGACTTAATCCAAATTCTCACACAGTTCCATTAATCTTACACACGCTAAGCAATTTTAATTGTGAAGGAGGTATAAATGTAAAGTGCAGCGTATCGAACAATCTATGAGTCTTGATTTTTATCGTCTTTCCAGTATACGGGCGTATATATGTGTAGGTGTGGTTGTATATGCATTATAGTGCTATATACATAGTACCATGTATGGAGATACCAATTTTATATGTGTGTGTACAATATATGTAGTACGCATGTCGACTGAGAACAGAGACGTTGCCTCTGACAAGCATGCTTATATTTTGTCGCTCATTATCTGTTGGATTCTTTTTACTGCTCGCTCCTTAGTTCAAAAGAATATGCCCAATAGTTTTTATCAGGATCGATCTGTTTGTTTCCACCTATAAACACCTAGTCAATTCACATGCATAAATGAGTCAATATGTAATAAAGGAATCTGCCACTGGAGTGGTTGTTCGAAGTGCTGTGCTAACTCTCATCTTCACGTTGTGAGGTGATTGTTCCCATATATAGCATAGAGAAGGGCAGGCTCATTATATAGTCTTGCTCAAGGTGTTATTTGAATCCCAGTGTATATGCGGGCGATGTTCAACTTGTACTATGCAGGCTCAGCTAGATCTCGTATTTGCATCTTTGTTGTTTTTGCTTTATTCACAATGAAGCTTTGTAATATACAAAGATCTGCTACATATATCACCACCACACGTTATGTGTAAATACCCGGCGGCTACTGCAAGAGAGTGTACATGTGCTATTTTTTGTGTACATGTGCTATTTTTTATAGCATACCCCGTCTACATCCCTGCTGCCTGGCACAGGTGCATATCGCGAGAGCACTTATGTGATTATCTCATGCCAATCTTAAAGGTCAGCGTAGGAGCTAGTAGTTGGCAAAAGATCTGCTATGTGTGTCACCACCACCACCACATGTTATGTATACATACACTACGGCTACTGCAAGAGAATGTACATGTGTTATTTTTAAAGCATGCCCCGTCTACATCCCTGCTGCCTGGCACAGGAGCATATCGCGAGAGCACTTATGTGATTATCTCATGCCAATCTTAAAGGTCAGTGTAGGCGCTAATAGTTGGCGAAAGATCTGCTATGTATGTCACCACCACATGTTATGTATACATACCCTACGGCTACTGCAAGAGAGTGTACATGTGTTATTTTTAAAGCATGCCCCGTCTACATCCCTGCTGCCTGGCACAGGTGCATATCTCGAGAGCACTTATGTGTTTATCTCATGCCAATTTTAAAGGTCAGTGTATGAGCTGATAGTTGCAGCACGCTTTACACAGGAAGTGTTAAAGTTCGTGAATTGTGGGTAGATTTGTGATTGGACTGGTATCAGCGTGCAAATTATTCTCACGACTGTTTTCTTACTGCCATGAATGCATATTTGCAAGGATGAATGCGATCGATCGACCTTGATGCCTAGTTATTTCGTCCTCGCCGGCATGGGCCGAGGTTCCAGAATAACTGTTGCTGCCCCTAGTGTATCCATCTGCTGATATCGAGCTGTTTATTCTATCACTCGCTCTTTAACAACCAGGTGGTGCTCAGCGACTAGGGCGAAGCGGAAAGTAGAGTACGACGAGTACGGCGTAGAGATCAAGTACGAAGCGCCGTTGGTTATTCCGTGCTCATGGCAAGGCTGCGAGCGCATGTTCTCCACAACACATAATTTGGAAATACATATGTGCACACATACAGGCAATCAACCATATCCCTGTCTCTGGGATAATTGCAAGGAGGTGTTCTCTCGAGAAGATCTGTTCAAATTGCATATAAAGCAGCATTGTCGCGATTACGTTAAAGAGTGTGCAGAGAAAAAGAGAGTGGAGGAGAGGAAAGCGGACGAAATAGCCCAAGCAGAGAAGGCATCGGAGAAGGTGTCCGACGCGTAGTGCTCCATGCTGACAAGAGGACTACATGTAAACAAGACTTGGTATGTTCTACTATAAACACGCCCGGCGAAACAGGCGAGATGTAGACATTCCGCTGTATTTAGTTGTACAAGTTACAAGCGCCGTCGGTCCAGACTATGTTCTCCACAATGTGTACAGGAATGTGGAGTAGCTGTTTTTGAAAACAAATGACGGCCGGGACGTCGCGGGCTGTGGAAACTGAAAGCTCTAAAATATACATGTACTTGTTGGACTTAGTTTCTCAATTCAATAATATATATTCGATACATACTTCAAGAAAAATACAAAACAGAAACAATGGAACGAGTGTTTTTTTTATTTGGTACATGGTACATACATATAGTCAATAGTGACTATAAGTGAGTGTGTGAAGAACATCTAGTGACATGTATTTCGTCAAATTTGTAAAACACATTATATGCAGATGAGCTGGCCGATACTAAGAATTTAGTCAATAGTTTAGAATAGAACCTTTTTTGGCGCATTCTATCAGGTGTTTCATAAAAATGTGTTTGTTTCATGCACTGTTCCGCTTGTTTTGGGTTAATTAATGCACAGAGGTTTTCGGGAGGGAACCACTTTTACAATAGTACAACCCTCTTTGATTGCACAGTTCACTACTGAAGTAGACTCTCTTAAATTGACTTTATCAGTGTCTTCATAGACACTAATTGTACCATTCAGTCCAGACTTGCTTCATGATCTGTCTCTCCACCACAGCCCTCCTGCAGCCAATGGCTCTTTATATAGCTAAGTTCTCACATGTCCAATTTGAGAGTTTAAAAGTTACCATTGCTTGGCGCATCCGTATCCTTCTATCGCAACAGATTGGGAGATGTCAATTATGCTAACATTTTCAAAGCCAAACCATCATATATGCTTAGATATTGTTCTTCACAAGGTAACATTCTCAAAACTACATTTCTGATCCAATATAAGTATGTGGCGTTGCACCATCACACGCATAGTTGCTATTCTTTAGATATGAACTCGCCGCGGCTTTCAACTCACGTTGGGCTGTAAGGTAGTCCGTACCCACGTATGTTTAGAAATAATCTAGAATATCACTAGAGTCGTCTTTGTGCTTAAAGAGGATTGACGAAGGGCATAATCATATTTCGCGTCAACGAACTTGATATACCAAGTGTATCCACCTGATGTACTTGGTAGGCCGGTCTAGAGGTCGACAGGGAAAACTGTCCCAACAATTGATGGGCTATTTTGTTCTTTGGTCGCATGAATTGGGGCACCATTGCATTTTTCCTTGGACACATGGCGTGCAGAAGCTGAGTAGTTTCGGGCGCGCCAAAACATATTGTGCTTTCCCTGAAAGGATTTCTGCCGTTTTTGGCACTGTATGACGTTCATTAGTTTCGACGTGAGAGTGTAGTTGCTTCAGTGTTTGCGGATAAGTTTACTGTGTGATGATTATCCCTACTGATAAGATTGCAGTATCAAACTCATTTTTGGCGTTTAGGTTATTTTGGTAAACGGTTTATTACGATAGGGGTGAGTAGGCTGCTGATGCTAAGACTGTTTGAAAGTGTCCTGAAGAGGGGGCCTGGCTCGAAGCTGCAATACGTTGAAACCTGTGCGTTGTTTGCACACACGAAAAGATCGATATCAACATTGCCGACGACATGTTGCTGGAGCGAGGTCGAGTTGGGTTTGCAATTGTCTGTTCTAGGCTTAGACCTAGGAGTGGTTTTAACCTCATGAATCCGTTGCGTTAAAAAAGGTGCACGAAGGGTATGTTTTGGGAAGCCTGGGGCGGGATGAGGAGTCTGCCGAGCACTGGGAGGATGCCTTTGTGGTGGAGTGTAGACTGAGACTTGTTAGGAAGACAATATTTTTTTGTACTCTATACCCTGTACATCATCTGAAGCTGTTTTGATATGCACCGTTGCGCCGGAGACAGTTAAGGATGCGGTCAAGAGGGGGGTTGTCGTTGTGGGTCCTGTATTCCGTTGTAAAAATGTATCAATTTCTTAATGACATTTAAAATGAGCTGTGCTGGGGTATTTGTTAGAAGTATTGAAAGGAGTGAGGGTGAGTGGTGGTGTAGCACGGGCGTGAAGGACGCCGTATCGTGACTGGAGATACGGTGTATCATTATGTTCGTTGCGCTTGCATTCACCACATTTATAGGTTTTGCTATCAACGGTACACCACTTGCCTATGTGACTATTGGACTAAAATTGCGGTAGATTGATAAAGGGCAACCGAAGGTGCCATGGACTGGTTTGTCGCATAATGGACACATATCGTGCATCATGAGCGGTCGTGGCTTGGAATGCATTAACGCCAGACAGATTCTCTTTAGGCGCAAGTTGATTAACACTTTGGAATTTGAGGGCAAGATGATACAAGTTGTCGATAGCTGTGTTATCTATGCCTTTATTTGGAACGTGAGAGATAATAGTATCGCTAAGACTGTATAACAGAACGTACAACACTTAAGGAGGTAGTGAGGCGCTTCATGACGGTCCAAAGCGACCATGACTTCCGGTTTTGTTTGTGACATATAAGGAACTGAAAGACTTGAGTGTCGTTTGGAGATGTGCAGCACAGCCAAACCTCACTGGACATCCCACTCCTATTTGGGGTAGAAGAACAGCCTCCGAGACTGAACTCCGTTTCAATTCGAACGCAAAAAAAAAACTCTGTATATTGCTGTGTATGTACTCATAATCTATTATGGTATCCTCGCAACCGGTATCCTTGTACTCCAATTATTTACTTTCTATGAAGCTTACATTGCATACGCAATATAGACATGGAATTTCCCATATAAATTACAATCCATGCATGTTGCTACTTATGAATATTACTTCTTCATCCCAGGTAAACAAGCTCAATCGGAACTCTAATTCAAATCCGACCGCACGAACAAGAAAGATTTCCTACCCCATATTCTTGGAGAGGCGCTAGCCATTCACAAACGAGCAACTCTCCGATACGTGCACCGCCCCGCTCAAGTTAAAAAATTAAAGACCAGCATAGACCATTCCAGCATAATGACGAGTCCCTCGCTACCTATAGAACTATGGTCTATTTGTTCTTATCGTGCCCTTTTTTACTAGCTGTGTCGATTCAGCAGCGAACCCGCATCAGCATATTTCTTCTCACTGGATGCTGCAATCCACGGGAATGGATCAAAGACTCGCTAATATCCGGGATATTCTACAATTTCTCACAAATATTCCTCTCGTGTTGTTTGCCTCTGTGATGCTGATGCACGTAGAATATGGATGAAGGACTTATACAGGTACCGTAGGCCGTAGGGCAGAAAGCATACGGCTCAGGAGACCTGCACACGTTTCTAAAACGGTATCTGTGTTGACCCCGTGGAACCATAAAAAGCACATTGGAACTTAGCGATTGTCGCATAGGACAAAACAGATGCTACAGTTACTATTTTCAATGGTTCAATGCCAAGTCCTGCTAGAGCTGACGAGCAATTGAGATATATAGTACCACGGATGAAATACCACCTCTCTGACAATGCTACTACATAAAGCCTTAGAGTAGGCGGTGTAACTCAACGCGATAGTTTTATCTGTGGAATTTTGCTTTCTGCCTATCGTAGAGTAGTATTAAAAAATGCGCAACTCTTGTATGATTTGGAACCCCCCCTCCCCTCAACGCATTTGTTCGTTAAAAAAAACCCATATAAACGAAGGCTCTATAATTCAAATTTGAAGCAAATGTTGCACGAAAAAGTCAATAAATATACATTATAAGGTGGAATTGTAGTTAAATATACTTTGATCAATATTTCAGTACGTTTCCATTGATAGAATTGAGACTGTGTACATTCAGTGACTTTTCCAACCTTCGTTCTCAATAAATACAGCAGGCGCGCCGGTCATAACGACACTTCTGACTGAGTTTACTTTTTCCAGACATGACACTCTTTACTGAACTTTACTCGGTTTTGACTACACAAAAAATAAAGTGAATGACTGAAGCAAACATTCTAGTACTTCCAACTCGCGACCTTTCTGGTTTTGTAATAAATTAAGTGAATGACTGAATCAACGAACCCACTAGGTTGGCTAGTTCAATTACTCGGAGAAAGATACCTTGTCGTCTCTAGAGGAGGCTCCGTCATTCCAAGAATTCGCACGTGAGCAAGTGTTGGCCAAGCAAAACCCACATGGGAAGGAAGCGCTCAAGAATAGGCAAGACCAGATGAGCACGACCTATCTCCAACATCAACAGCGACAGTCGTTCGAGAGGGAAGCCGCCAGTGAGCATGTACAGACTCCCAAGCGAACGGAGACAACGTCGCTCGCACCTCCACCCACATCGGCGAGTATTGAGAATAGTCGACAGAGGTTACATGCACGTATACTACACCTGAGCGACGAGTTATGCCAAGCAATAGAGGATAATAATACGGCTCGAGCTGAAGCCCTTAAAGGTGCGATTGAAATACTTCGAGCCACGCTAGAGTCCCGACCAGTGGAAAAGCGTCCGGGACCATCACCACGTACATGGCCCGACTGGCCCTCGAATAGATACCACCTCCATGACATCATGGAACGGGATACGAGAGGGGCTCTACTGGAGGCTTTTAAGAACGCGCAGATCGCAGGGTTAGATGAGAGTTGGAGCCTTACATGGTTCCACAAGGCTATATCTTACTTTAAGGCTGAGAAGTCAACATTGGAATACATACGTGACAAATCTGATCGATTGAAGATGTGGACGCCACAACTACAAATCGAACAGATTTGCTCACATGAGACGCAAGCCACTGTTGATCCCGCGTTTCGTAAGCTTGCCAAGGGCCACAGTCGAAATGCATACCCCCATCATGGAACAAATGACACAGCTCATGAAGAATCCAGGAGGGCACATGAATGGTGCCAGACAGATGCAGATTTCCAACAGAATTTGTTAAACCATTGCATTGTTCAACTGTTAGAGGAATCTCTCAACGGCCGTACGTATGAACGCACTCTACAGTTGCATCCCAAATGGCAGTTAATGAAGACTCGCGAACTTCTACAGTTGTTGAGTCCCGACATTCAGGACGCACAGCAGCGCACTGCGGCACGATTCCAAAACCGTAATAGTCGCAAAGGCCCACCAAGTAATGGGGCTCGTGACTACACCAATAGCCGCCCTAACCCGCAGACGGTTCGACGACAGTCACAGAACTGGGCACAGCGACCCCAGCCGACATTACCTACAACGTGTGCTGGATGTCAGGCACAAGCACCGCCAGCTTTACATCATATTTCGCGATGTCACAATTTCCGAGCGTTGCCCCCAGGGGGTACGGACGGCAGGGCG